ATGTGATAGGGTTCAAATCGACCGGTACCATAACTTGGTTAACGTTACCAAAATATCCGGAAGACTTTCGCAAATTTTGGTACCGGTTGATTTGAACCCTATCACATGGTAGCTCGTTTGAAAGCTCTTTTCACGAGGAAACTGAAAATGTCATCATTTTTCCAAATTTATGCGTCTCAAAGGAAATAGTGGAAACGTGTGCATGCAATGCACACTGTATATAACGTGTGCATGCCCATGCACACTGTAAATAACGTGTGCATACCATGCACACTGTATCTAACGTGTGCATGCCATGCACACTGAATATACAGTGTGCAATGCACACTGTTGAGTTTTCAGAGCAGGACCGACTACTGCTACCATCACCGCGGGCCACTGCATGCCGTAGAAGGCACTCCCACGAATGTGGCGCGCGCGCGCGGGGCCGCTACCATAGTGTTCGCACGACGTCTGATAGCATTGTAAACTTGTGCTTTCGCTAGGTTTTTCTTTCACAGAAAAATAAATAAGATAGTTTCCTTTTACATTGCGGAGTATAGCAGAGTAGCGGAACCCCTCGACGGCGCGGCGAGACGAACACAGCAAGAAGGAGACTAAGGCGGGCAAAAACTTGAGCGACGGAGACAGGGGGTTAATATGTGATGCCCGCTATCTGCGGGGAGGAGGAGGGGGATGGGCATGAGGAGGGTCGCGAGGAAGGCGCCGTGGAGGGTGTGTGTGTGTGCGTGCAAAAAGTGAAAGTAGCGAGCGGGCCGGGGCGCGCCCAACCAACCCCTCCGCAGCAGCCCATCGTGTCGCACAGAAATAAGAACCACGAACGGGAATATTACGTGTACGCGCATTTAATTTTTTTTTTTTTTTATCTTTTTCGAAATGTTACTTAAAAATTGTCCAACCGGGTATGGGAAAATTTTCCATTGAAGATGTCGTACAAGTACAATTCAAAATTGTAAATGATAAGCGCAGCGAATATCGACTAGGATCGGTATGGGGATCAAGAGTGGGAGGTTGTACAATAATGTCTGGCACATTTTGCAAATATTGATAAATTACAAAAAATCTCGTACATGTACATATTTTTCACAGTGTTTAGGGAAAATAAATGACGATAAATAAAGTGGTGTAAAGTTATTTCCAGATCCACAGGACGTCAGATAGGCTCGTTGGGTGCCGCGCCTTTCCGCCGAGGGGCGTGCGTCAATCTGGCTCAGGCGCACAGCTGATCAGGCCGAGTAGTCGGGGGCGGCGGGGGCGGCAGAGCGAAGCAGGGGCAAAACTTCACAGATAAAGCAGCCTTGGCGGGGCGAGAGCGAACGAAGGTGGCGACACACTATTTTGCGTCCTCGGAGGAGAGAAGTAAGAAGAAAAGAAGCGCGCGAGAGAGAAAGACAGAGCGTGGGAGAAAGAAACAGAGGGAGAGGGGGGGGGGGGACGAGTCGAGAGCACAAATCTCTTTGGAGACAGATTCAATCAAGGGTGTTGTGTGCAAAGTCTTGTATAGGAAACGCGAAGGACAAGGGATTTATGGGTACTTGTACCGTTTAGGGGCCGTGGGGCGGGCCGTGGAGGGGAGCGTCAGTCCTCGGGGGTGGAGGGTGCGGAGCTGG